CCCTTGCATACAGTTCATCAGGGCCTGGGATTTGTTAGGTTTTAATTTATCTATTTGCCTAAGGACCATGTCACTAGTGACCCTAATAGTGCACAGTTTATTATCGTCCTGTTCTACATAATTTATCATTACTGGAATATCGCTGGTATCCTCCTGTGTAAAAACTGAGAGGAAGTATGTGTTAAAAATTCTACACATTTCCTTATCACTGTCATGAGCTGACCCGAGGAACTTTGAGTGGGCCTATCTTGTCCCTGATCTTACTTCTGTATACCTGAAAGAATCCTTTTGGGTTAGTCTTCGATTCTCTTGCAACTTTAACCTCATAATCTCTTTTTGCTTTTCTAATTCCCTTTTTTATTTCTCTCTTTAACTGAATATATCGATTTCTCAATTGCCCCTCTCCTCTTTTGATTTGCCTATATATGCCTCTCTTTTGACCAATCAGATATTTTAATCTATTGTTCATCCATTTAGGATCATTTTTGTTTGATCTGATTTCCCTATTTGGAACATAATTTGACTGAGCAGCTAGAACTATGCCCTGGAAAGCATCATATCGGCAACCATCACCACCTACCTGACCCTTAGTCAGGTCATTCCAGTTCAGCCCACCTAAGTAATTTTTCAGTCCTATGAAATCAGCCAAGCGAAAGTCAGGGACGGAGACTTGATTGCCATTATTAGGGAATTCCATGATATATTAAAACTGAGTGATTTGTGATCACTTTCCCCAAGCTCATCATTAACCTCAAGATTATTAATTAGTGTTTCCCTACTGGCAAGAACCAAGTCAAGGAGGTTATTTCCCCTAGTTGGCTCTGTCACAAACTGTTTTTAAAAAACAATCCTGGATCGTATCAAGAAAGTCACCTGACTCTAAATTTCCTGTCAAATTGCTCCAGTCAATCTGTCTATAGTTGAAATCTCCCATTAGCACAACATTTTCGTATGTAGATGCCTTACGAATTTCGTCCCATAGAAGTTTACTGCACTCCCTATCAAGATTTGGGGCCCTGTAAAATCACACCCAAAATTAGTTTTTTCTCGGCCCTCGAGAAGCTGTAACCAAACAGATTCAGTGGCTGACGCTTCTAATTTAATATCTTGTCTAACACAACAATTTAAATTGTCTCTGACATACATCGCTACTCCACCACCTTTCCTGTTGACCCTGTCAGTGTGGAATAATTTATAGCCTTGTATGTGACATTCAGAGGGCATCTCTCTATCTTTCAGATTGAGCCAGGTCTCTGTTATAGCAATAATATCTATGTTTCCTGCACTTGCAATTAATCTTAGCTCATCTATCTTATTTCTTACACTCCTGCTATTAGTATAGTAAACCTTAAGGGAGCTAGTCCCTTGCTGCCCACTGCTGTTCCCCTTTGTTTGCTGACCTGATCTATTGTCATTATTTATAACTTCATGCTGAATGCCTTTTATACATTTACTGTTTCCAACCCAAGTGTTGCACTCACACCATCGCATGTCCTCGGATCATAGTAAAAGACCTAGCTCTACTGGGTGCATGATCTTTGTAGGATTGGGTGGTCCCATGGTTTAGAGCATCATGAATTTTGTTCACCCTGATGTTGGTTAAAACGACACAGGTTCGAGTCCCAAGCTAGTTGCAGTGTTGTTATTGACTAAATGCCACTCGTTCGTGCTATAATAATATATATACTGCTTGTGGAGGCTAGTTCACCAAATGGGGAGTAGAAAGAAATTAGCTCTTAGGCACCCACACCATTATATATCAACCCATTATATATCCTCAGATCACGGCAAAACATGTAGCTCTGCTGGGTGTGTGATCTTTGTAGGATTGGGTGGTCACGTGGGATAGAGCATTGTGAATTTTCGTTCATCATGAGGTGGGTTAAAACGACACGGGTTCGAGTCCTCGGCTAGTCGCAGTGTTTATATATATATATATATATATATATATATATATATATATATATATATATATAATAGGATCACAGCAAACAGGTGTGAAAAAATAGTGAAATTCCAAGTGCTTTCGTGATTTCTCACGAGTATACACCTTGCTTTCAAAAACACCGGGACAGTGAAAGAGGTTGATTAAAAACACACCTTCTAATAATGTTGGTGGTGTTTACAAGGTCCCATGCACTCTGTGCCCTCTCACATATATTGTTTAAACAGATAAATTTCTGGAAACCAGATTAACCCAACACCAGTACTCAACCAGGACAAGGCAGGAGTCGAATGCTATCTTTAACCATGTCAGTTCTTGTAATCACCACCGAGGTGACAAAAATAAATCCTTTTTCTTGAAAAATGATAGGAGTGCCGTATATACCTCAAATTATGAGTTGTACAAGCTCGACAGCTATTTAGTGGGGTCTGTTGTGCACAACCTTAAGGAACAATGTTACATAATATCACAGAATTGCTCATTATGCCATGGAGTCTCGTGATGCTCTTGTGACGCACCGAGCATCATGTTGCATACGTCGTGAATGTCGGCATAATATATAACCCATTTAGCTGATACTGTATCATAAGTTGACAAGTACACAATGTTAAGTGCCTGCAATCGGTGATGGCAACATGATCGATATAATATATAAGCATTAATAGTAAGTAAGCAGGTGGCTTTATTCAGGTAGGGATGCACATGGATAAACTTACATAAATTATCTTACACAGCGGCACATGTGTGGATCACCTAGGATAGAGTGATTTATTTCCGTTAGGGCCTTAAACCCAACTAGCTACTGCTGTATAACGGTGCATATTGATTGCAACATGATGAATGCAACTAGCTCAGTGGATTACAGAGTTAGGCTGTTAGTGGTATTAAAGGATATTCGAAAGTTCATGAATTCGATTATTATACGAATATTATAGAAGAATCATAAATAATACATGTATATTAATGGATACTGAGAATATTGGTTGGCAGTATTTAGGAATAACAAAAAAAAGGCACAATACCGTGACTGGAACGATACACAAATAACCCGCACATAGAAGAGAGGAGCTTACGACGACGTTTCGGTCCGACTTGGACCATTTACAAAGTCACACTAACGAGAAGTAGAGCAGGACTTCTCGTTAGTGAGACTTTGTAAAGGGTCCAAGTCGGACCGAAACGTCGTTGTAAGGTCCTCTCTTCTAAGTGCGGGTTATTTGTGTACAGTATTTAGGAATAAATGATGAGATTCTTCCTAGTATTTCCTGGAACATTCTAAAACCTCCCGTGACGTACGGCTTTTAAGCTGACAAATGAGTACATTCATTTTTCTTTTATTAATTAGAAGGTTACACATAATAGCAGCATTCCATATGTATATTATCCACTACTGCAACGTAATCTTTTATATCACATGACTTATTCTCAGCGATTAGAAGATGATCAGGGCGGGCTATTACATCTCCTATTTTTCTGTTTTCCCGCTTTTGCAAACTTGGAGGCTCTCGTCTACCCTACCCCTTGTGGGGTGGGGGCGGGGATGGTGGTTGGGTGGGCGGCAATCAGCAGGTGTCTTTCACATTCTGAGAGAAGCTGGAGCTGGTGTTACCCCACGCTACCCTACTCTGAGAAAACTTTCGCTCATTTCTTCATTTGCTTCTCTTGCAACATTGCGTAGCTCCTGATGACGCAGTGAGAATTGTGAAAGTACTTGAACTAAAGATTTTCACCCCCCCCGTGGCTTGTCTTGCATATATAAAATGACCTAACATTGCTACGTACTTATGTGATATCAAGGATCCTGTATTAGGTGATTTCGGGAAACATGGAGAGAGGGACACCTAAACTATCCAAGTCTGATGAGATAACGTTTGTTTACTCACTGTTTAAATAACCAACCTCTTATGCCCGTACATCTATGGCGAGGGTCGAATCTTAATAATTCTGTTTCCTCAGTTTGTTACTCTCAGAAAAATGTGAAATATAAATTTGTATGGATGGCAAATTCATGCGGATTCCTTAATGTTACTTAGCACACGGGTTACTTTAGAGATCTGGAAGTTAAAAAAAACGTGTATTCAAACATCAGTATTACGACATTAAGATTATCAAGGAAAGCGCTAAGTGTGTTTAGGTTAAGTAGCACTATACGGAAGATGTATTAAAGTTAGAAGATGAGAGGAGGTGAAGGTGCTGAGGAAAGCACATCAGCAGAAAGGAATGGAGAGGGTCAAACAGGAGAGCGGACAAAGTAAGCCTGTCAGATCAAGCATCAGTAGTGACCTACAAAAAATCGACTGACTAGTCAAGTCTTTTTCAGATCCGATTGAATGCTCAGTGGTGTAGTGGTTAGCGTTTCTACCTCACGCCCGCACTGAGGCGATTCGAGTCATCATGATTCTTCTTCCTCAAACTGTTACGTTCACGGAACGTAAAATCTCAGTTGTTACATTACTGTGCTAAGAAGGGGCTCTATGAATCCTATAAAAAAATTATTTTTGGCCTAGCACTAGCGTCTGACTAGCCAAGTCTTCGTTTGGATCCTTAAATAAGGTCATTCGTGTTGTCGTCAGCGTACGTGTCTAGCACCTGCACGAAGATGGCTCGAGTCTTCATAATTTCTCTTCCTCAACTTATTTTCATTAAAATGTGTAATTTAAACTTGTATAAATATGAGTGCAATAAAAATGGTCTGTTAACATGCCCCCCGAGTGGCATGGGAACTGCAACCTGAATTCACTCTTGCTCCTAAGAAGATGACAAGACTAACGACGTAACTTAAACATACCAAATTAAATATCTTTCTCTACAATCCACATATTAAGATATACAATTATTAAATTAAACACTTCGTGTATTCTTTGTACTAAACTACATTTTGAGTATCACTAAACTATTTCAGTTTGTTTTAGTTTTAATTCCACGTTTTAGATGTAAAGTGTCAATCACAGAAAAAAAAAAATGAGATGCTGTGTGAAAGGTGAAATAAATATAAATATTTCACAGTTATTGAAGATATTATTTTCTAAAGCTTCCACTTGTTGTGTGTTTCTAGGTACAGTCTCAGCCAATGGAATACCTCTGCGCTCATGGAACCTGACAGCCACCAATGGGGTGGTGCACTTGGCAGCGGATGTCATCCCGGAGACAGATCTCGGTAGCGATCCCACCACCATCCCCAATCCACTTCTGAGTCAGACTGAAGCTCCCATATTTTCTAGATATAAATTAGAAGATGTTGTTCCAAGTGTTCCCGCTGTCAGTGGACTGTATGAAACTCCTGATCATGATCCTTTCTCGAGTTTCATCCGAAGCCCTGGAGCTCCTTCGAAAACTCATTTTGATATTGACACTTCAGGACAAAAATCTTATGACTCACGGCATCCATCCGTTCCATCTTTCCAGGAATATATGGAAAGTCTAGGCTTTGTTAGTGTCCCTCCTGTAGAGAACAACATTTATGCTCAAAGTGATCACATAATACAGAATGGTCAGTCATTCACGGAGCTCGGCAATCAGCAGAACTCTGAGCATAGTTTAAAGCTTTCCCAGTCTCAGCAGCCTGAAAGAGCAGACACTCTTCAGAATCTTAAACGTCAACCTATTGAAACTCAGAGTACCGAGGTCATTACTTTTCTGGGAAAGTTTGATGAACCCTACGAACAACATCCAAAGGATGATACATTTACCCAAGCTGGTGAATCATCGCAGTTTAAAAAATATGGTACTAGGACCACGGCAATATCTTCTACAAACGTACCTACACTGCCACATAGAAAAAACACTTACCATGACATTAATGCAGAAAGAAATGATGTATTTGCAGCAGATGAAATAAACAGGCCTTTAATTGAAACGAACCAGCCACATCCTCAATTGTATCAAGAAAATGGAATAAACAGCTCGAATATTTTGGGTGTTAGTGCCAATGATGGCACATCCGGTATCAACATTCAAGGTATTCTCACATTCTGTCATCGGCATGGCAACTTCTGGTGCTAAAATTGTTGAAGTGATAATGCTAATATGATGATACATACCTTTGAAGATTTAGATATTTCACATAACTCTCACATGAATCTAAATCAACTAGCGTTTATAATAATTCTTGAATTCTTATTTAATTTATTTCAGATTTCTTCAATGCTACACATGCAACAGGTCATGAGACTCTTTTTAGAATACCAGGAGATCGAAGAGAACCAGAAACCGTGTCCGAGGATCAACGAATCTGCACTAACGTTTCCGAGCATCACGTTGCGTCAGTTCCTATAGTTCCGGATGGGGTGACAGTGTGGTCCCCAGCAGGAGCGGTGACGGAGGAAGAGAGAACCCAGCTAGATGTCCTTGCCCTCTTAAAAAGACTTAATCTCACCAGGTTCCTAGAAATGGTAGATAGAGCTGGACTAACGCTCACCCTCAGCCTAGATGGTAAGAATAAAATCAGAGTTACCGAACATGAATACACCATATGCTGATCAAACAAATGTAAGAAAAGGCGAGAGAACTTGTGCAAACACTATATGGCCGTTTACTTTAAGTGCTTGGCATAAAAAGTGTGTGCATATGAAAGAAAATAGATCATCTTGGAGTTTGCTGATTTACAGAAAGTACATAACAATGATAGTGTCTGTCTTTTATTATTAGCTCAAAAAAACTTTTAGAAGTTTAATTACAGATAGGTCAATTTATCTTTATCTCATTCCAGAGAGTTTATAGTAATGAAGCCTCAAACATCAGTAGCTCTTGTTACATCCCTTGAAGATTCCTATAAAAGCTTGGGAATTCCAACAAAAGCGTTTTATACTGTAACATATTTTTAACTAAGTCTGGGACAATCAAATGAGTTGTCAGGATTTTCTTATATTCGTCATTGTTCATCGTTCCCTCAACAATAACAAACCGTCCAGGGCCTTGAGCAGTAAAACTACCCCAAACATCTTCTTAGGTGGGTGTTTTGGCGTTTGTTGAATGTGTCCATTCTGAAGAGGTTCGTCTTTGCTCCGTCTCGCTACCACTGATCTGTACCCATGTATGTACTTCAAAATGAGTCTTATCCGAAAATATCACTTTCTCCACTCATCTGTCGTCTATCCTTTATGATCGAGCGCCCACCACAGCTTTTTTTTTTTACTTCATAACAGGGGTAAATAATTGTTTCTTTATCGGCAGTTCTACTAACTTCAAGGAGCATTCGTCAGACAGTTAAAGAGCAACATTTACGCCAGCTGAAGCCAAATATCTCTGTAGATTTTGGCTGGTTTTCTTGGGATCCTTCCCACTATTTCTTATAACCTTTCGTGTACTTTCAAGTTTCCTCGACGCAGCGCTCCATAGTCACTAGTGTCGTCATCTCTCTTCAGAATCCGACCAACAGTTGACTTCGCTAAGCTCAAATTTTCGGCGATCTGTCTGATACTCAAATCCGCATGTTTTCTAAGAGCTACCATATTTGCACACGCCCTAGGTGTAACATCCATCATGAATTTCAGCAGTAATCATGAAATGAAGGTGAGAATTTGACGAAACCATATTCACTCACAAAGCACGCTTGCAGGAATAACCTTACAGAACAACAGCTGTTGCAGCACTGACGAGAGTCACAGGGTAACACCACAGCTGGATTGCCAGAAGTCGGTTGCAAACTCTTCTGAGAAGAACCCAAACTACATTAATTAAGCCGGAGACTATGACATATTAGATAATCAAAAAATTTACTCCTGTTCCAATTAATGTGCACACTACTGTAATGCTTCATGTTTTATTGAGGTTTCTCGTTATGACGTCAGTATATGTGGCAGTTACCTTCCCTAAAAAGTTTATGTGAGGTACCTGGTGATCTTTGCCTTAGCAAGACTAACTTTTTAAAGTTCAGCCGTCTGTGTTTATTTCCACCATGTTCCTAGTTGTTTGATTTGTTTTTAAATAGTTTCCCGACGTATTCATCATGGTTAATGACACACACACAGCATATATAAATTCTTGGATGACACACTAATAAAAAGAATTGTCCAGTCATTATAAAGTTTACCGTACTCTCAATTCCTCAGTTGCTACTGAGTACAAACCAAGCAGAATGTTGCTCTTCTTTGAACCTGGTTCTGCCTTGTTATTGTTGTGCAGTATATAATTTAATATACAAGGTTGTAATGAACCAATGACGAGCTTGAAAACAAAAGCTATCCCTCTATAATATGGCAGAGAGAGCATCAGTGACACTATAGTTATATTAAAATGATATTGAAGTGAAGCATGTAATGGATTTGAGCTAAATTAAACATATACACATCACCATTTCATATGGAATGATAATTAGGAGACATATTGGTTACTACCTTGAACCATTATTGAAAATTCCGACACAAATTAATGTTTCTAACACTATGTTTTGTGTCTATGCCTAGAAAATTCTCACCACCTATTTTTGCCGCACATTATAATGGTTTGTATATATTAAAAAAATAATAGCAGAACACCAAAACAAAATAAAATATAATGATATTTTTGACGCGAAACTGTATTCGGCAAAGTTCGTAATTTTCGATAATTCGACTTAGAAAATTCGTGGAAACAAGCTTTAAGAGCTAAAATATTCTTTGAATTACCCTCTCTTTTTTTTTTAATAATAATTTTTTTTCACAGATTTTTGCCAGGATTTTTTAACTTTTCTCCTGATTAATCTTATTTAAGACATCTTATGTAAATAGAACAGATGCATGCCTCAATAACCAATAAAGCGTGAATACCTGAATCGGAAAATTTAAAATGTGATCCTCCTTTTCATCTAAAATGAAAGTCCAAAGATATAGAGTATCACTGTCTACATAGCTAATCACATCACTTCTAAGACCATTTTTTCACGGTGTCAAGAGAAACTACAGACAAGGCCATTTGATCGAAACTCTGACCTAGCATGTAATTTTAATGAATATCAGGTATCATACGTGATTAAGCTGCTCCTTGCGAAAGATTATCATGAAAGATTCTGTACCTGAAACGTGCCACCTCAAGTGGTACCAATATCTGCTGTGGCCAATTGGTTATGTTAGCCTCCCTAAGTTCTTGATTAACATCCACTTAATATTTGCAAAACTGGTCCAGCATCTGTCACTTACGGTGTAAATCTTTTACAAAGAGCATCGTCATATTATCATTTACTAGTGAAAGGTTACCACAAACGAATTTTAATGTTTCCATTCAATGCTGATGAAATTCATCGTCAAATAGGTTTCTATAAGCATTGATTCATTGTGTCTACATATTGTGTATCCCAAACTGAGGATTTAAAAAAAAAAATTATACGACTGTTCCGTATCATATAGTGGTAAATATATTCCAAATATATCTTTCTAACGGGTTGCTATGTATGATCCTAAGTGGGTGATATATTTAGTTAAAACCTGTGTCAGGAGACACTTGTCCTGTCTCTTGAGGAATATTATAACTACGTTCTGTACTTCTGCACATTTATCGGTGATAATTTAATGCACTGTAAGAAAATATCTCGAGGAATAATGTCTTCATGAAAGGTTATCACTTTACAACAGGAGGAATATGGTGTGTTAGCACTAGTGCAACGTCTGGGGAAACTTATGTATAGAGTGTTATCACAGGACCTTGGACAGTGTTTGCCCCGAGTAACGAGGCCATCAACACAGTCCCAGGCAGCGCTCTTCAGGAGATCATATCCAGCAGACGGTTCCTGCGACGACTGGTATCTTACCATTTGGCACCTGGGAGATTCACCAGCGGCAGCTCCTTTGGTCCTGGAGTACATCTTCCCACGTTGCACGCCGGCCACACCCTCCGTCTGAACTATTACACAGATGGCCCTGTAGCGGTGAGTGTACTGGCTATACACAGATAGTTAGGCAAAATTATGTGACAGATCTTTGAAAATCGAGCTTGAGAACTAATGTTGATAACTTCTCTAATATTTAAATTAAATCTGGATATTGTCTACTAATATTAGTATGATTAAATTACGTATGTTTTTATAATATATAAAAAAATATAAGAATCCTGAACTTAATTTCTACAAAAACTGAGATGATAGTATACGATTAACCTCTATTATGATATTATACCATGCCATAGTGTTATGGGTAATGGTGATGACCATAATGCCAAGATCAAGATCAAGACAGTATAGGTAAGACCCTTTATTTTGGGTGAGCAGGGAAGTGGGGATAGGGGAAGAATAAACTGTTGAGAAGAAAAGTTTTGAGGGAGAGGGATAGTACCAGTTGCTAGGTCGATAGTGTATTAGGAGATCAGGAGACTAGACTTGGCAAAGATGACTGATAAGGGGTATGAGCAGGCGAACGCCGATACGCATCTGTGCAAGGTACCAGCGAGAACTTCCAGTGTGGGGTTAGGGGATAACAAAGAGCGTCGTTGAAGGTCCACACCTGTTAAGACAGGCTAGTGCTTGAAAATACATATAAAGGGGATTTGGATCAAGAGCTAGCAGGGAACAGAATAAATAGATTGTGTGGGTTGGCAGGTTTACGAATGTCTTTGCCAAGGAGAGTGGTCCAATAGTCATGTAGTGTCTCTAGTTTGTCAATCTGTCTGTCGCTGAGCATCTTCCATTACACGTTCAGTGCTGGGATGTTTGACTGGGCATGGAGTGACTCGCTTGTAATGAAGTCATCCCAGCTGATATCAAACACCCATCGCAGTGCCCTGTTCAGGATAAGGTGCAGTTTGAGGATGTTAGTTTTAGCTGCAAGAGAGGAAGCTAGAGGGCAGTAAGTGATTAGAGGACGAATGAGAGTTTTGTAAAGGTATAGTTTGGTGCGTTGAGAGGCTTGTCGTAGTTTGTAGAGGGCTGTGAGGGCATCTTTTGCTACGGCTTGCTTTTGGTTGATGTGTCTGTGTATACGAACGTGGTGGTCTAGATTGATCTCCAGGACAGTGGTTGTTTTAGTAACTGGGAAGAATGTACGGGTGAAAGGTGTTCTGAGCTCGACGGGTTGTGGGGGATCAATTTTCCTATAATTGAAATATGTGATGTTGGATTTTGTAGCATTAGATTTGACCCTCCATTTTTGCTGTATCAAAAGCTTTTTCGACATCTTTTGCAACTAGGGCTGTCTTGTTACCTTGTTTGGTGTTTATGAGGACTGTAGTTAAGTATTATTTTAAGGCGTCCTGTGTAGAACGACGTGTTCTGAAGACAAATTGGCCGTCATAGAGGAGAGTGTTTCGTTTAAGGTATCTACGGAGGCGAATATTGATGAGTTTTTCAAAGAGTTTTCCTAGAGTTTCAATCAGGCTAATAGGGCGATAGTTCATAGAATCGGAGTGGTCTTCATTAGGTTTTGGTATGAGGATAGCAGTAGCAGCTTTGAAGAGGGAAGGAAAGTAGCCAGAAGCGAGTGAGGCATTGAGAAGGTTAGTGTAGGCTGTGATAGAGTCTGGGAGGTGTTTTAGGATGATGTGGTTTAGGCCGAAGGCTCCAGAGGCTTGGGAGGAAGGTGTTTAAGGAGTCCCTTAATGTCTGTGTTGGTTAAAGGTATGTCGAGTTCCTGTGTGGAGGTGAGTCGAGATGGATGTGACTGGTGCTGTCTCATGTGTGTTAGCCGTGTTCCATTGTTTTATCTGCTGTATGTGTTAAATAGTGTTAGAATGAGGGGGTGGGAGCGAAAGATGTTCTCCTAGATGTGTTTGAAGATGTTAGATGCTGACTTTGGGTCTGTGATATGTGTTATTGTGGGTGATGTGCTTGAATCTGTGTAGGATGTTGATTCTAAGGAATGTGAGATCTAATCTGACTTGATTAAATCTGTATGTGTTGCAGAGGAAGCGGTTGTGGTAGCAGATAAATAGTGGAAGTGGAAGGCTTGAAACAGTAGCGAATGGTATTGCTGTGTTGGCAGCCTGGATGATGTTGAGTTGCGTGTCGATGTCAGAGATAGGTTTCTTGTTGTATTCGTAGTTAGGTTAGTGTTATTTATGTGTTGCTTAAAAGCTTCCCAATCAGCGTTCTTGTAGGCGAAGGAGGGTGTGGTTAGAATAAGGATGAGATTAGAGATGTGCAGGATGACAGGGATATGGTCTGAACCACCATAATGTTGTTTTTTGGATGGGTGGTAGAGGTGGGTGGCAGGAGGCAGCATCATCACTGACCTGGACGAGGGGGCCACTAACGGCATCATACACGTCCTGGACCGCCTGCTGTACGCCCCGTACGGTGACATCAGCACCACCCTCTCTCTCTCCCCGGCACTCACCGTTTTCGCTCATCTACTCACCGAAGATTTATATCTCAACAGCTATCTATCAGGTGTGCATACAGTCCTCCATCCAATTATTATCGCTATTATTATACTAACATTGCATCTGATCACTTGCCAACACCAGTGATCTAGCTCTTGGTCTCCTCTCTCTCCCCTGATGCTCATCATTTTTTTCTATTGCTCATTCTATTTTTCAATCAACCTTCATCCTATTGTGAAATATATCATTTCTTCATCAGATGCTATGTAGAATCCACAAAATATTTTTAACGCAAGTACTTTGTTATTTTTTTTTATCCTCTAGGAAATTTCATGGCTGATAAAATACTTTATATTTAAAAAATAATAAAAGTTGTATAAAAAATTATCAAAATATTTCACTTCCACGATTTACGTGTGATTCCAGAAATACATAACATATTTATCACTTTTTTCATACTATGTTCTTCAGTCTCTAATGAATGTTTACATTTTCCTACCTATATTTACTATATTCACACGAACATGTTAAACCGTACGAGACCAGCTCTGTGTCTTCGTCTTGGTTGCAGATCGGGCCCCATCACTGTGTTTGTCCCTCTGCCCCGCCCTGACGAAAAACCCCACCCCGCCTCACCCCCACCTCCAGGAGAAGTGAGATGCCAGCGTCCCCGGGAGGTATCATGCACTTCCGGAAAGGAAAATCATGCCCCCCAGAGGGTGATCCACTGCACTCCAGGGGAGGTGATACTGGGCCCCTCCCCAGGAGGGTGAGTCAAAATTTCCCCTCTCCAGAAGTGAACATTTCCACTCTCCAGAAGTGAATCACTGCCACTCGCCAGAAGTGAGTCACTGTCACTGTCCAGAAGTCTCTGCCACTGTTCAGGAAAGGTAAATCATTACCACTGTCCAGGAGATCGAGTCACTGCCACTGTCCAGTAAAGGAAGTCATCCACAAGTCGCAAAGGACAAAAAACCTTTTTATGAAAGATTTCATTGCCATTTTTTTCCTGTTTTTCTTCTTCGTTCCGTTTCTAACAGTCGCATGACAGCCAACAGATTTTACAATATCACGAAAGAGTAAATTATGCATTATCCTTAAGAATTAAAATTACCTCCCACCAAAACATCCAACCAAGAGAAGACTTTAACAACGAATTAGGTTTGAACAAAATCAGATTTCAGAAGGATTCAGGGTGAAAGATAAAGGAATTTTGTGAAGCAAACTGATGAATAGTGTCTTGAAAGTAATACTGTCATTAGGTTCCCCCAAAATATTAGAAACAAGAGTATACAAAGAAGGGTAAATAGATCTACCCTTTACGAGCCAAGACGCACTGCTTTTCTGTTCTCGTATTCATTATATATTTTATATGGATTTTATAAGGAGTAATTTCTTAGTGCTTAGGTATATTTCGTTGCTCATTATCATGAGACATGCACATATATTCCTAAAGATATAAACTTATATGTTTAAGGGTATTTAAAATATCGTTTTTATTGGAGCTGGTATTACAAAGACATAACTGTTGTATATATGTACTTTCGATTTTTATACATATTGGAAAAAAATCATCTCCTTTTCTGATGGGGTCTTACTTTTTTTTACTGTGTTAACCTGTTAACAAGCTAAAAATTTCGATCAAATGAACAAAATTTTCTCTTAGCCGGTCATCATATGACTAAGATTCACGTCACGAGAACTTTTCCCATCTACGAAATACAATCACTACCATACGTTCATTTTGCAATGTGCTGACACAGAGTGGGTGCTGTCACACGTGGTGGAAGGCGCCTGGTACACCGCAGGTTTCTCCAACACTTGGCCGCTTTTCTCCAACGCCAACAACACGCTCATCACAGTCCTTATTGATCAAGGTGGGTGGGCGACTTTGTAAGTTGGTTGCAGTGTGATATCTCAAACGATGTATCCTAGTTAGACTAACATTACATTTTGTATGAGTAAATGACCATGTCAGTGTTTGTACATGTTTAATGTTTACGTCAATGCTGAAAGATGTGTTTAAAGGCATCAGGAACATGAGCTACCATAGTTACAGGCTTTTAAATGACAAATATGACACACTAAACTCATGGAGATGTCTGCCATTACCGTATCAATAAAATATATAATAAAATAAGGCTGAAAGTTTAGAAATGTTTTTTCACTTAATAATAAAAATAATAATATTATAATTTTTTCTACAGTATACAGGTAATGTAGTTTACACGTAAGAAAATATTGTTAAACACAAAAGCAAGTCACTAGCTTTCATTGGTAATACACAAATAACTCGCAATGTGACTTTGTAAATGGTCAAGTTGGACCGAAACGTCGTCGTAAGCTTTTCTCTCTCGTAAGTGCTGTTTATTTGCGTATTGTTTCCAGTCACGGTATTATGCCTTTTAGCTCTTCATTGGTGATTTATATTTTCTATTAAGTAAGTAAGTTTATTTAAGTATACGCAAATACAGTTACATAGAATTATCATACATAGCAGCATGTGTGTAGAGAACCTGGGATAACCCAAAAAAGTCAGACACAGTGACTTATTTCCATTGGGATCCTTTTACCTTATTATTATAATATAAAGGTTATAATATTTTCTTATTATTCTATAATGAAGATAACATCTTCTTATCATACTAAAAAGACTATCTACTACACGAGGGTCATTAAGACTATCTACAATACGAGGGTCATTACTAGGAATAAGGTAAAATTTACACGTATGTTAGCTAAAAAATAGAAAATCATTCCCCTCCCTTTCTGTAGCTACATTCATCAAACACCTTTTGGCACTCTCCTTGAACTGGTTCATGCTATGACTGGCTTTGACATGTGCGGGTAGTCTGTTCCATTTCTTTATTGCTGTACAATAAAAGGTGTTTGAAGCCTGGCCAATGACTGTGGGTACTACAAAGCTGTGCTCTCTCCCCCTAGTACTATGATTGCTTTGGTTCCCAACCTTGACAAAATTGACAGCAAGATATTCTGGACACTGTGAGCAATTTTATAAACATGAGTTAGCTTCAGTTGTTTTACTCTGTCTTCAACATTCAGCATATCCAACTGCTGTAATTCATCCTGGCCTACATGTTCTCTTGGTCCCAGCCCCAGGATGAATCTTACGATTTTGTTCTGGGTGATTTGCAGTATATCTTTCAGTTTTTTTTTGTCAAGGCAGAGTACCATGAAGAGCAAGCGTAATCCATATGGCATTGTATAAGGGCTAGACATAGGGTCCTGCGAGCCTCAGTAGGTAGACACTGTGCTTGTCTATACAGGAACTTCAGTCTGGCATTCGCTTTCTTTACTACACTGTTCCCTATCAATTCTCCTGACATGCATGGGTCAAAGGGGATTCCCAGATATTTTACTGATGAAACCAAAGTGATGGGCTCCCCATTACACTGGACATTAAAATTATTTACCCTTCTCAGTTTATGTTTCGTGCCAAAGAGAATGACTTCAGTTTTCCGAGGTGTAATGATAGTTTGTTGTCTACTAACCATTTGCTGCAGGACTCCAGTTCCAGTGTTAAAACATTAGCTATATCTTGTGGGTCTTTACCTGACACCAACAGGGCACTGTCATCTGCATACAGTAGGAGTTTGCACTTGACACTGATAGGCATATCATTGACATAACATAAGAATAATAAGGGACCCAGAATACTACCTTGGGGAACTCCACATGCTATCGGCAGGGTTCTGATTCCGTTTTGTTGATTTTGACAATTTGTCTCCTGTTGCTAAGGTAGGCCCTAAAACCAGTCTACAGAACCTATACCGATAGCTTGAAGTTTCTTACATAATATATATGGTTGACAGTATCGAAGGCCTTTTGCAGGTCTAAGGTTACCATACCTATGGGGTTCCCCTTTGACATTTCAGTTTTTGGGTAATCCATCGATTAATTAGGGAGGTGTCGGTTGAGTAAGACCTTCAAAAACCCCGGGATTGATAGCTAGGAGAATGTTGTCATTAAGGTACTTAACTACTTGAGGGGTACACCGCCCTCTCTAGAATTTTGGATATTAATACTGAGAAATACAAAACAGGCCTATAGTTGCTGACATCAGACCTACTATTTTTCATAAAGAAGGAGTAACTCTGGCCTCCTTGAACCCCTCCGGTACGGTATTAGTGGTGATTGATAGATTTATTATGGGGAGCAATAAGGATTGACAGTTCAGAAGCACCAAGGCCTGTGGTCTTAGTTGGGTTTAACCTCTTAGCTCTTTTTGAATAAAGTCATGAGATACACTTACTAGTTTACAACTGTTTGGGGTTACCCCTTTATTGGTATAGTATGTTTGAAACTTATCAGAGTCTGTGTTAAAGGTATTTGATGCGCTGGTAGTTTACTTACTAGTGTTGATGCAACAGATGTGTAGTAGGAATTAAAGCAAAATTTTCCACCTTAGATGTTCGTGGGATACCTCATTATCGATAATGAGTACTATGTTAGACCTATCTACGTGCTTATGGCTATACCCCAACTGTTTTTAGTTGTTTCCAGAGCTTTCTGGGGTAATCTTATACTCTTCAATTTTTGAACAATAGTGCTCTGCCTCTGCTCCTTTATAAGTCTCTGACACTGTTCCTCACCCTTTGGAATTCCCTTTAGTGCTGCAATATCCTGTCTGTTTGCTTTAAATCTTTTTTGCAGCTGGTCTCTGAATTTCAAAATTATCTAATATCTCAGTATTCATCCAGGGTTCAGTTCTTCGTTTAATCCTAACCTCTTTTAAATGGTGCAATATTATCAAGGGTGGTTTAAAGAACATTGTTTTGAATTTTTCCCAGGCATCGTTTACGTCCGTTTCAACTTGTTATCTCTGTCCAGTCACAATTGGTGTAGCCTATTTACCATGTTTTTTACTGTAGTTTCTAGTTGACCTCATTTTTATTGTCGTGTAGGCCTATCCTATCCCTAGTGATTTTCCTGGTGCTGAGTTTTTTATTACAGTTTTTGCTTCTAGCACTAAACGATGGTGTAATGCATCATGTTTTGTTTACTTGCAGATATAGCAACTGTGAACGGCGTCAGGATCAGCTACGCAGATATCACTGCTTCTAATGGCGTGATACACGTGCTTGAGTCTCCCCTTGTCACGCCGACTTAGACAATTGCAGAAAACGTAATTTTAGTCCTAAACGAAGTTATAGTTTAAGTTTACGTCAAATTAGAATGGTCTATTTCCAACCTTTTCTCTCGTCCTTCTAAGTTATCTCTCCATAAAAACCTATTTATAAACTAAAGAATATTTGGTATGTGATTTGTAAGTTTTATTTTTTTCTATGAAGATAGGTTAATAATTAAGCAGGCTTTAATCAGGTTAAATTTACAGCCGAGTTCACATTTCTGTTAACTATCAGTAGTGTTTGCCTTAACCACATGATATGTTATATACACCTAGAAGTTAATTTAATAAAGAGTTTAGACTGAGTTTAGATTATCCTCTTTCTATGGGATAAATTTCTTCTTGATTAGTGGTAAACAGCTGAAAGCTAGCCGTTATGACCCTCGTAACGTCTGAACGTTGCCAGGCACTGTTTGTGATCCTTTTTTCCCAGTGAGGTGAAAACCTACCTCAGGTAAACCAGCAGATGCTTAATCAAGGGGATATTATACCGGTATACTAGCGACTGATCACTGATACCCAGCACCGGTACACCTACGACTGAGCACTGATACCCAGCATTGGTACACCAACTTTTGCTTAATCATAGACTGGGTTATCAGTTGAAAAAGACCCCTGTCAAGAGTGTCTTTCCAGTTTCCTGACGAATGAAACGCATGTAAACATAATGTGGGAAGAGTCAACCTTGGCAAACCCAGTAAAGCCACTATATTTTTATTCGGATTCCATTTATTTTGAAACATTTAAACAGAAAGATTCACGCCGTACCAAAAGAGGCTATGAACTCAGATTTTTCTACGGTAGATATATTATTATTTTATCAAGGAAGCGCTAAACCCGAGATTATACGCGCTGGGGGGGGATGTGGGAAGGCATTCAGGCTTAATTCGGGATGGAGCACAGATCAATCCTAAATCAGAGCCCACCAACATCAAAACCTTCTGAGGGGTACGGTAGATATAAGTATTATTTTTGAGGTTCTTAGTAACGATGAACATAAATGAGTGACTTTCTCGTAATAATAATTACTTGTGAATGACACTTTTGAGCAGATGCCATGGTTAGCGCAGGCTGCGTTTTGGCTCACTGCAGGGGTTCAAACCCCACCCGTTCTGTGATTTGGTAGCACTGTCATTAATATTACTGTATATCTTAAAATACTTTCAATGCTCTCTCATTCTCTGCCCAACCAAATATTGCATTCAGATGGAAGTGTAGCTCCAGTGTATTTTGTCTATAATGCAATGAATATTAAAAGTTAGAATATAAGTCCTGGGCTGGTCCCTCGGTATTAACTTTAATACAAAAACCTATCATTGTGAATATAATAAACGAATACATGATATTTGTGTATTTTTGAATCCTGTAGGTCTGTATTCCCTTAATTTGTCTAGGGTTTTCGCGTTCATAATAAGTCATTCATTGGAAAAAGTTGAAGCATTTGTATTTTCTATAGATTTCATAGTCTTCTATGTATATTTTTCTTACTCCCTTCAGCAATATGTCTGTCTTCCCATCCTTATTTACCTCATCCATTATTCTCTCATTATGATCAAAACATTCCATAAAGAATTCTTGCTTACTTGTCAAGGGGAGTGACTTGTTGCTGGTGAAGGTCTCTGAGTACAAAAAATTTGAACTGCTTTTCTCTTCCTTGGGTCGAACCTGATTACCTTCCATTTTCCAGCCGTATGATGTTTGTTTCGCTCTTTCCGTGAATATACATTAAAATTTATGTGCTTATATGACCTTCCTACATTAATAATCTGTTTTAGGCATCCCAAATATAACCTTTCATAGTCCTCCACACCGGTCCACCACACGGGTCCTCCACATGAGTATTCCACACGGGTCCTCCACATGAGTATTCCACACGGGTCCTCCACACGGGTTCTCCACATGGATCCTCCACATTGGTCACATTCTATATCATTTCATCCTTTGATTAATTTGTAACCTAACCCCGCAGTTCACTCGCTGTAGTACATGAACCACTAGTCGAAAATTTGGCTTTGACAGTGGTACACGGTTAATTATGAAAAAGCAACTGTGTCCTGAGACCATCAAGCTTGTATTTTTTTCGGATAAAGGAATCAGACCCATTCGTGTTGGCAACGCCCATCGAAGTCTTGTTGCCAGAACCGTTGTGACGTTGTGTAAGTCACGGTAAAGCCACAGTGCCAAAATCAGTTTGTAAATGGGATTCAGTAAAGCTCAAGGCATGCACATGGAGTGCTAACTTAGCCGATCAAAAGGATCTACTTAAATTAAACTTTGCCAACGCCTTTATGTCAGTCAGAAGTAATGCTGCAGTCCCATATATTCATACATCCAGTCGTGTTACAGTGTCAGAAAATGTACTCAAACGAAGGTGTGTAAAAGGGTGGCTCTCCTCGTCCCTCTCCGTTTATGTCTAGTCATTCAGAAAGTCACAGTAAGGCTGTCCACCAAGGTCAACTTCTGGTTCTTGGACGATGGCATTCTGGCTTGTACTACAGAATCCCTGTTAGAGTACTTCACGCAATTAAAATATCTAAAAATGAATCTGAGACTCTCTTGAAACAACTTCGACAGATCATTGACTATACTATGTTAGCCTTACCAGAAGCACGAGTCATTAATCTAACCATCAGTACGCTTCTAGGCACTCTAGATTCGAACGCCATCTTCCTGAGTCTACGAAAAAGCACCGACCTTTCCTCTCCGCCCTTACAGTACTCTGTGTCGGTCTGCTTTCTCCTTCAAAATGCATAATCTTGCAATTCCTTGGGTCATTGTTCGCATCGCTATTGGGCCGTGCGGACAGGCTGCGCAGTAGCTACTGATTCAACTGGTTTACTGCGCTGTTTTCCTGTTTTGTGCTTACAACATGGCGGATCGCATTGGACGCCGGGTGAGCACTGTGTGTTGAATTGGTGCGTGGCACGCTTACAGGAACAACCATGCACGTGTTACTGCCTGCCATCATCAGTGAGGTATATGGAATACCTACCGAAGAATTATATGGAGTAGCAGTAAATGGTGTGTCGAGAATTTTCATCAAGTTTAAAGATGCAGGATTCTACGCAAGCATAGTCAACAAATATCAAGAGAAAAGGCTAGCAGTGAACACTATGGTGGAAGTCTGCTTACATGATGTGTCCAGCTATGTGACGTGGGTGAAAGTACGAAACGTGCCTTTTGAGGCGACAGAGCATGATGTGATGGCGGTGTTTAGCAGCTATGGAAAAATCCACTCAGCAGTGATGGGGATGTGGCAAAATGGACCTTATGAGGGGCTACCTGAAGGATCATTTACGCTGAAGATGACGTTGAGGCAGCCAATTCCATCATACGTATTTATGGATGTCTTCCGAACGCAGGTCTACGTGTACTACTCAGGGCAGCGGAAGACTTGCAGATTATGTGGTTCTTTTGAACATATGGCGGCCCAACTGGACGGAGGGAACAGGTACCAGTGATCTTACATCAGAGGAATGCTCTTGGGGTGTTGGAGGAAGGAGTAAGGCCGAACAAGATTCCTTGCCGATGGAGTGACGAAGTGGATAGGGCTGAGGCGACTATGGAGGAAAGTGTAACACTAACAGTTGATAAGGGACAGACGACATCGACGTCTGATGAGGAGGGTACGGGCCAACAGGATGGCTTGCTGGAGGAAGTACTTAGTTCCTTTTTGCATGACGTTGAGGAGGGACAGGTGGATGAAGGGTGTAACCTGGTGCAGGCGACAGCGCAGCAAGATCAGGAGGTTAGGAATACTGTGTGCACTAATGTTAATGTGCACAACGTTGTGGCAGAGGTCCATAGGGCGGAAAAGACAGGTGACGAAGTGTATGGGGAGGGGAGTTCTCGTAAGAGAACTGCAGGAACGTCTGAGATGGACGATGTTTTTACTCCAGGACAAAGAACAGGAGTAAAATCTTGGAGAAAGGATGTGTGTCATAAGGGGAAAGAGGGAAGGGGTAATGTAGGGTTTAAATGGTTCTAGGGATAATGAAGGGATAGGGGGGGGGGTGAATAAGCAAGCTGTCAAGAAAGATGCCATACAGCAGGACGGTATAGGAGGGTGTGTGCCAAGAAGAAATGGTAAACCACCACTTTTAAAATAATTCACGATAGTAACTGTAAATGTAAATGGATTGAAGAATGAAGTGAAACGAGTATGGATGGAATGGTTTTTGAGGAGATATAATGTGGATGTTTGCTTTATACAAGAACATAATTATAAGATAGGCTGTGCTTTGGCATTAAAGGGTTATAAATTGTATGTAAGTGGGTCTGTTAGGTTAAAAGGGGGAGTGGCAGTGGCTGTGAAGGAAAATAGCCCCTTACGTATTATAAAGTGGGAAGAAGGGGGGGGGGAGGGTAGTGAGGGTAGATCGTGAGTGGGGTGCATCTCGAGTATGCTTCATTGGGGTTTATATGCCAGCGGAGAATATAATCAAAGTAAAAGAGGATTTTGTGAGAGACGTTTTAGTGTATTTTTTAAGGTGTTTACCTCTAGTCACTGTAATTGGGGGGGACTGGAACTGTGTTATAAGGGGGGGGGGGACGTGGAGCCAAGGGGGGCGGGTTGTGTATTACGGTCGTTACGCAATGTTTTACAGGATGCAGGGGTGAGGGACGTGGAGGGGAGTGGGGCTTGGAGAGTGGATTACACTTTTGTTAGGAGAAATTATTCAGCGAGGTTAGATAGGATTTATATAACGGAGGCAGTTAGGGTAGGAGGGGTAAAAACAGTGGACGTAGGGTTTTCGGATCATAGGGCAGTTTTGGTAGAACTGGATTGGGAGGGAGTGGTAAAGGTATATTCAAGTTTCTGGAAGTTAAATGCGAGGTTGGTGAGGAGTGAGGTGGTGAACGCAGAGTTTAGAGACTGGTGGAGACAATTGTGGAGGGCAAGGGATGGGGTAGGGAGTATTTTGGATTGGTGGGAAAATAGGGCTAAACCTGGTATCGCGGGGTTTTATAAATATAAAGGAAGGGAGGAGGCGAGGTGGAGGTACGGTTTACAGAATTATTTGGAACAGCAGCTCAATGAGTGTTACGCAAGAGATGAGGGGAAGTCTTTTGAAGAAATATCAGGGCTAAGAGGGAGACTAAGGGACATACATAACGAAAGATTTGATGAATTAAGGGTAAGGGCAGTTATGGATGCCGTGCTATGGGGAGATAAACCGTCGGGTAGTGTGTTAAGAAGTTTTCGCATTAGACAACAGGAGTCCACTATAATACTTTTAGAGGTTAGTGACGATTTGGAAGGTTATACTAAGGGGCAAATGTTGGTGACAACTGAGGGGATAAGTAATTATGCGGACTATTGGTTTAAAAGGAAATGGGAAAAGGGTAACGTGGGGATAGTTAATAAAGAAAGAGGAGGGGTGAAGGTCTTGGGGAAAGGTGGGGAGGACAGAGGGGGATTGGAGGGAGTAATAAGTATGGAAGAAGTGAAAGAGGCAGTGTTCAATTTAAGTAAGGGGAAAGCACCGGGAATTGATGGGCTTTCCAATGATTTTTACAGAGTGCATTGGGAAACCATAAATGTTTGTTTGGTTCAGGTACTGAATTGTATGCTGAAGGAAGGGAAATTGGGAACGTCACAAAGGACGGGTGTGGTCGTGCTTGTAAAGAAAAAGAGGGAGGGGAGAACACTGAGCACGTACAGGGCCATATCTTTAATGTGTACCGATTATAAGATTTTTGCGAAGATTCTAGGGAACAGGATGAAGAAGGTAATAGGTGGTATGGTGCACAAGGGTCAGTTGGGAATTCCGGGTCGTAGTATGAGGGATGGACAT